TTTCCTGCCTATGCAGGGGGTCGGACTTGATGATCTATTGAGGTCCCTTCCGACCCTAGCATCTATGAATCTATGAATCCTCCTTCCAAACCAACCACCAGCAAGTTCTCACCATTGTAAATAAAGCATCAATGGCCACCAACATTTCAGCTGTGGTTTTGTCTCACCCTACTTTAAGCAGGTTTCAAAATACAATTCTTAAAAACTCTGACAACTATTTGTGTATTACACTACTATAAATCACACGCAAACTGATGCAGCTCTGCAAGTGGTAGCAGTCATGAAAAGTTAAGGGGAAAAAGAAAGCCCTTCCACAGACACAGCATCTAAGATTTGCATAAACTATACAACAGGTAGTGTGGGTTTTTTTAATCAAAATGTCCCTTAAAAGTTTGCTTTAGGCACATCATCCAAAAATGTTAAGAGTTTTGCTACAGTTATTACTAAATGTTCTTCCATACCTGTGCAGGTGTGTCCGTTTCATTTATCGGTTGTCCATCAAATCTGAATCTAATCTGTCTCATTGACAAGCCCTGAAAGTTGAAAGTTACTGACATGAGATGCAGATATCTTACTGTTGAACCTAATACAGTATGGTTACTGAAGCTTTAAAGTGACAAAACAAGTCTTACTCTATGATCCCATAGTCAAAACTGTTTAGTTTGAGGACTCAGAACACAGCCCTCCTTTTGGATGAGCCCTGTTAGATCAGAATCTGATTTCTATTCCATGAGAACAAGTGCATCAAAATCTAGCCTGTGTACATTCTACCAAGGAAAGAGAAAGCAACATTTAACACCAAGAAAGTGGAGGAGAAAGCAAGGAGAAAAACCAAAAAGGAGGGAACACTTCCCCAGTTCCCAAAATAGAACAATAAGAAGTATTAAGGAGCGAGAAGGAAAAAGAGAGACAAATATTTTAAAATGTCTTTACATAACAACAGCAGAAAAACATACCTTTTCATTTTTCACTTACTCAAAAGAATGGGACCACTGACCCAAAACTGAAGCAGCTACATTTTGACTAATGAAATATGAAGTCTTGGCCAGCACAAGACAAGAAACCATATTCCAATTTTTGCCAGGTAGCCTCACCCATTCCAGTTTCCTAGTTCAATAAAACCAGGGAAATATGAAGCAAAGCTGATTTTAGGCTTTGGACAGAT